TATTTTCATGCACCTAGTCAGTCTTTTACTACCATTGATCTCTCGTTTTGCTCCCTTTCACTTTTCACTCGTTTTAGTTGGACGGTCGACAGTGACCCACAGGACGGTGATCATTTTCCTATCATTATGAGGGAGGTTGGCTATGGTCAATGCCATCAGACCTGAGTGCCACGGTGGAAGCTGGACCTGGCTGACTGGCCATCTTTCACCTCTCCCTCTCTCTCTGAAATTGATCCTGCCTTCGTCTGTCTGCCATCAATAGATGACTGTGTTGTCCAGGCAGCTGTTAATTTTATTCCTAAGACCTCGACTTGTTTACCACGGTATCCTCGTCAATGATGGAGTCCTGCCTGCCAGGAGGCACAAAAGGCTCAAAAATGGGACTGGGATACCTTCCGATGGTATCCGTCTTTCTAATTGCATTGTTTATCAGCAGGCCCATGCTCGGCAGGTTCGACATCAAAGACAAAAGTTGTCTTGGGTTAAGTTCACTACTAGCATCTCTTCTACCACCAGTTCCAAAACTGCGATTTGGAAAGTCACTGGAAGGTATGCTTTCCATCTTGCTTTCCAATGGCCAGGAAGTTGCTGATGCTCTCGGCCACAGCTTTTCTCGTGCTTCTAGCACTTCTGTTTCTTCCCCTGCCTTCTTGGCCATCAAGTCTCAGGCAGAGCAATTGCCTCTTTCCTTTTGGGTCAATGATTATAATTGCCCCTTTACACTAGTGGAACTCAAATTTGCTCTTCATTGGTCTGGTAGTACATCGGTTGGACCTGATAATGTTCATTATGAGATGTTGCGCCATCTCTATCCTGCCTCTCTTGCTATTCTTCTGGTTATTTTTAACTGGATCTGGCAGGAGCATGTTTTTCTTGATGCTTGGTGCCAGGCTATTGTCCTCCCTTTCTCTAAACCTGGGAAAGATCCCAAGTTTCCTTCTAATTATTGTCCCATTGCTTTGGCTAGTTGTCTTTGTAAGGTCCTAAAGAGGATGGTTAATGCTCGTCTTGTTTGGTTCCTCGAATCAAACACGCTCCTCTCACCCACCCAGTGCGCATTCTGTCGACAGCACTCCACCATCGACTATCTGATTCGACTTGAAACATCGATCAGGGAAGCTTTTCTTAAGAGAGAACACATTGTTTCTGTGTTCTTCGATCTCGAGAAGGCTTATGACACCACGTGGAGGTATGAAATTTTGCAGGACCTCCACTCCTATGGGTTGTATGGCCATTTACCCATTTTCATTCAAAACTTTTTACTGAACAGGCGATTCAAAGTTCGTGTGGGTTCAACTCTTTCCCGTTCCTTTCCACAGGAACTTGGAGTCCCTCAGGGCTGTGTTAAAATTAATGCCATCACTAATAACCTTCCACTGACTGTTACAAATGGGCTCTATGGGCATGAGGTTTATTGAACAGCAGTTTCAGACTGCCCTCAATCAGTTGTTGACATGGACCACTGGAAACGGTTTTAAATTTTCTTTTTCCAAAACCGTTTGCATGCATTTTTGCTGCCAATGGGGTCTCCACCCCGATCCCGAGCTCTGTCTTGCCGATATAGTTATTTGTGTGGTCCCTGATGCAAAGTTCTTGGGCTTATCTTTGACCGTAAGCTTAGCTTCATTCCGCACATCAAGCAGCGATGTGTCAAGTGTGCAAGGGCTCTGAACATCTTCCATGTCCTCTCTTCCAGCTTTTGGGGAGCAAATCGATGTTCTGTGCTCAGGATCTATCGTGCCCTGATTCGATCCAAACTGGACTATTGGTCTATGGTTCTGCCAGGACCTCGGCCTTGAAGGTGCTGGACCCTATTCACCATCTGGGGCTTTTCGCACTTCTCCAGTCCAGAGTTTGTACACCGAGTCCCACGAACCTCCTTCACCTCCATTGTTTGCAACTTTCTTTGCAATATGCTACCAAACTTCTATCCTTACCACGGCATCCCACCTGTTATTGTCTTTCTTCCTCAATTTGCCATGCTCTTTTGGAACAGACTGTCTGCTAGTCCTTCCTTTGGCCTTCATATCCAGGCACAATTGGTTGAATTGGGTCTGGCATTGGATGACATTGCTGTCCCCAATGGTCAGCCCATTCCACCATGGCTTATTACCATCCCTTCCTGTGACCTTTCTCTGAGTTATCCCGATTGGAAGTACCGTCTTCTCTTTGCTGAACATCTTTCAAGCCATTCTTCTCTTCCTGTTTACACGGATGGTTCGAAATTGGGTGACTCTGTAGGTTCTGCCATGGTGTGCTGTGGCTCGGTAGTTGCTCGCAGGATCCCCTCTACAGTTTCTGTGTTCACTGCCGAGTTATATACAATTTCTCTTGCCCTGGATCATGTAGAAGCAATGCTGTACAGTAATTGTACTATTTACACTGATTCTCTTAGCTCTATACTAGCCCTGTTCTCGTCGATATTCAACACCAATTGGCCCACTTTTCTCTATCTTCTGTTTCCATCCAGTTTTTCTGGATCCCTGACCACATCAGTATTCACGGAAATGAGCTCGCTGACACCGCAGCTAAGTCCGTCTGCTCTGGTGCCATCGCGGGCGTGCCTGTCCCATACATGGACTACGGTCTTGTCTTCAAGGCACGACTTCGTGCCAGTTGGCAGTCGACTTGGGGTAACCAACGTCATAAGCTTTTCCAGATCAAACCTTCTGTTGGTCTTTGGCTATCTTGCTTCCGTAAGGATTGGAAGGAGGACGTAGTCCTAACAAGGCTACACATTGGTTTTTTAACCCATCATTTTCTTTTATCGGGTATTGACCATATAGCCCACATTTTGCTGTTTTGCCATCATTACGACCGTGAGCGGCGGCACCATTTTAGACGCATGTTTCCTAAGAATTTACCTTTGGCATTGGACAGTGTCATTGGTAATGGTAACACTGTCAGATTAAATTGTATTTTTAATTTTTTACACACTATTGGTCTTTTTAATTATATATAAATCTTTTATCGACATATATTGATTTTAACTTGCTGTATTTTTACATTTTACTTTAATTTACTTTCACTGTTTAACAAGTTGTTTGGTGCAGATAGCATCGTTGTTTTGTGCCATAAAGCACCAAACAACCAATCTTGCTATATGAAGGGATATATGTATGTCGAATCCTAAAGATTATGCACCAGTTAAATCTGGAGATTGTTTGGATGCTGTTTAGTGAGTACAGCCATAATGCAATATGACTTTTGGTTTCATAACTTTTATGTGGAGCTGAGAATAAGCAGAATCTAAAGATTTCTGAGAATTTGATGATTCTTAATCTGAAAGTAGCTTTGAACCAGTACAAGTCAAAATTTCCATTTCTCATCATATTGTAAACTTTGTTCTTAAATATCAAATATTTTAGTATGATTGTTACTGTTTTTTCATATCAATAAAAATTTTATTTACCTGAAAAAGTTTTTGTATTAAGTTACCTGCATGTTTTTTTGTTGGTTTTTTTTGTTGTTGTTGTTTTTTGTTTTTTTTATTATTTGTTTGAAGATTTTGAAGACATTTTATTCATGCTATAAGTAACTTTTGTTAGGTGGGCATGTAAAAGTATAAAATAAAAAGGATCAAACATTACACCTATTTATAAATGCTTATTCTAAAAACAAAAATATAAAGAAAAATTAACTATCATTTGAATGCCAATAAGGCAAATCATAAAACATGTTTCTTAACTAAGTCGCAAAGATATTTTTAAATGAAAATATTACATTTTGGTTCATTACTATGAACTGGTGCAAATAAGATTTGCCCCACTAATTATACTAAATGCAAAAACTCAACTTGTTAAAATTCACAGTTTAAAACAAATTAGTTGGTAGGTTTACCAAAGTGCCAATGTTTTTACTTTTTTAATAATTTTGTTTTTATGAATATTATTACAAGAAAAATTTCCTCATTTTAATTTCAAACACTATTTTCAGCTTTAAAACAGTTTAGGTTGTATGATATTTTGAACATGAGTAATAGTGAAGAAATATGAGGCTACAAAAAAAAGTTTATTTCAGTTCTGGTCCATTATATCTGATGAACATGGCATTGACCCAACTGGAACCTATCATGGAGATTCTGACCTGCAGCTAGAGAGAATTAATGTTTACTACAATGAAGGCTCTAGTAAGAATTATCAATGTTTAGAGTAATGTGAACATCTCAATAGGCAAGAAGAAACATACCCTGATTATGCCTTATGAATTGTAAATGTAATAAATTTGTACTGTAAGTAACTTATGGTAAATGGATATATATAAATGCTTGAAAAGAAAAGGAACAAATATTACACTTGTTTATAAGTGCAATAGTGTGTGACTGCCTTGAATAAGAGATGAGAAAGTTTATATTCTAAAATCATTTTATTATGTCCTGTATTTTATACGTTTGACTATCTTGCAGTGTATTTATCCATGTGAAATTCACGATCATTAGTTACAACTAAGACTAAGAATACTTTGAGATTTCAAACTACATGTACAAAATCTTAGATAGATAAAGGTTACTGTGTTTCAAATTTTATAACTCCTCCTTAAATGGTTTGTTTACCTAAGGTACGTAACAGTAATGTAGTATTTTAACTATGAAATTCTGAGTATAAGGTTACATAAGAATATGTTAGTCACTTGTTATCTTGTAATACAGATCTATATACTCATTTTCTAAATTTATTTAAAGTTGTAGATGTCATTGACAAAAAGGACTGAATAACAAACCTAAGTTTTAAAAGTTTAAGTCTGTCTGAAGTTTAGTCCATAAAGAAATGTTTTAAGAATAAAGAACAGCCACTATCACCAAATATTGTACATCAAATAGAATGAATGAATGACTAGTTTATTAATAATCTTTATTTTGTAATCGCAAAATAGGTGGCACGTATGTTCCACGGGCAGTTCTGGTGGACTTGGAACCTGGAACCATGGATTCAGTTCGATCAGGACCTTTTGGACAACTTTTTAGACCAGATAACTTTATTTTTGGTAAATTAATATAAAAACATCTATTTCTTGTTATAGAATCATTTTAGTAGTGAAAATCGTTTTTTGTATTTAAGTTATTTTTGTGAGCTATTTATGATGCTATTTTCATGATATAACAAAAAGGATTGTTCTGACAATGCAGGTCAGTCTGGAGCTGGAAACAACTGGGCAAAAGGTCACTACACAGAGGGTGCTGAACTAGTAGAGACTGTGATGGATGTAGTCAGGAAAGAGTCTGAGGGTTGTGATTGTCTGCAAGGCTTCCAGCTAGCACACTCTCTTGGTGGTGGAACTGGTTCTGGTATGGGTACTTTACTCATATCAAAGATGAGAGAGGAATACCCTGACCGTATCATGACCACCTTTTCTGTTGTTCCATCTCCTAAGGTAAACCTTTAGATCATAAAGTAGCATTTGTTGACTGCAGTATGTATCATCCATATTTTAATTTTATCTCCATTTTCTCTTCCTCAGAGGTTTACTTTTTAAACATTGTTTCTTTGACAGAAGATTCTACATCACACTGAAACTTTAAATTCTTCAGCAACTCGTATGTGGTTGGTTCAGATGCTATCTGTGAGCCATAACTCAGATTTTGTTTCTCCAACTTCACTTTTACACATGATAAAACTTGTTTCACTGTAAATTACATTTCAGCAGAAGTCTGTAAACATTAAGGTTTGGGTGTTATTAACTGTATAGGTAATGTTGTGAGTGCATCTTGTGTAACATTTCAATTTGATGGTGCTGCTGTTTAAGATACTAATGTTTTAATACAGCTACAGCCTCTAACTATTTACTCAACCTTCTCCAATTTAACTCAAATGCGTGTGTGTGTGAAAGTTAATGACTAGCTTGAATAAATTTGTAGCTGCTCTTGTTGCATAGTTAGAAAGCTAAAAAAAATTATGAGAGGTAAGAGAATCTGTCTACTTTTTGCATGTTATTAGTCTATAATCTTTGGTGCATTATTTAATTAAATTGAAATTATCATATGCATTACTAGCATTAGTATAAAAAAAAGAAATTAGGCTTAAGTGTCATCAACAATCAAGAGCAAGAAAAAAAGATTGGGTAAGTACTTTATTTCTTGTTTTTAATATTTATTATTATAGAAGTAACTATAGTATAAAAAATATGGTTAATTTTAAGTTATTTAAGGCTAGTTTACGTGAAGTAAGTAATTCTAATAGTATAATTAAAATGGTTTATGAGGCATGCATGTGAGTAGCTTGTAGGTTATGTAATTCGATAGTGTAACATGACCTGCACATTCTGAGTGATTTACAACTTGTAATGACGCCGATAGTAATTAGACACAGTTCAAAGGGCAATAAAATTTAATCATAAATAGATGTATAATGTTACGAACTTAGAGCTACATAGGATAAACGAGTGTAGTTTCATATTACAATTTGAAGTCATTCTAGAAAGAATGAAAAGTTAACTTAGGTTTATTTAATTGGTTAAGAGGTCTGTCAAATTGACCAATCTCTTTTTGAGATAGGGTAGAGAAAATAATAAAGCATAAAGTTTTACTGAGAAAAAAAACGTTTGAAACACATTTAGGAGGTTTTAGGGATTACCCAAAGGAAATTTGAAATGAGGAAAAGTATTTTTAATTTTAACATAAATTACTTTGCACATGGACTATTCAAAACAATATATAAAGACTATATATATTCATAGACAAATCTATATTTTATTAAAAATACTTTTAATGATTTCTTTTGTATGTGAAAAAGTTGAAATCACAAATGAAAGACTGGCAAATTTTGTGAAGATATACATACTGTATTGAAAGTTAGAAGTTGGAGGTCACATGGTCTGTCAAATTGACTGAGCCTGTGTTGAAAAGAGTTAAGTTTGTTATAACCAATCAAAATCACTTATTTTGAACTACGTAATCCTGTCAGTCTTCGTAGAGTAGTTGAAACCATTATAATAGTGCTGATCATGGTGGTATGCTGATCAGAAATTAAATTTTTTTTTTAGACCCGAATATAACTTACTTAGGAAGCTTGATAAATTGTCATTTCAAAATGTGTATATAAAACATAACAAAAAAAATTTTATGTCCTCCATGTGCGAAATTTGACTAGGCTTAGCAAGTATAGTGTAAGAGTACAAAAAAATCGTAATAAGTAGAGATCATTGTTTTTTTATATACTTTTCATTTACTGTTCTTTGTTTTCAAAAAAAAATTTAGAAATTTATTTGTAAATAGTAAAACATGTAATATATGAAAACTTAAATGTCACTGTATTTTACAAAATGCTAGTACTAAAACTAAGAAGAGTAATACATTTGTAACGGCCAGTTTTATGCTATTCGATATGGTAATGTGAGCTGCACATGCATATTATTTACAACTTGTGTGGCAAGATTATTAGACATGGTTCGAAGGTCAATAAAATGGGTGGGGGGGGGACATTAAATATGAACATATGTATACGAGATTTAAGCTATTTAGAATATATATTTATGGTTTCCTGTTACAATATGCAGTCATTCTAGAAAGAAGTCATTTGGATATATTTCCTAATATTTTTTTTATGGTGGTTACAAGATTGATCAAGTTAACTAATTCTGTACAGAGAAAACATCAGATAAAATATAAAGTTTTTTCTAAAAAAAGTTTTATTTAGGAGGTTATAGATATTATGCAATTGAAATTTGACAATTTTCAAATGAAAAAAGTATTTTTAACCTTAAAATCAATTGCTTTGCATGTTGGATAGTTCACATTCTGAAAGAAAATATTCATGAGCAAATCTTTAATTGAAAAACTTTATTTTGTGTACAAAAGCTTTGTAATGTTTACTGATAACCTGCAAAATTTGGTGAAGGTACATGTGCATTATCAAAAGTTAGTGTTACTACTCTCATTGTTACTTTGGTTACATAGTAGGTGCAATGCACCTCGGCCCTTAGTTAGAGTTAATTAGATGCTATTCTTCAAGTTTTATCTTTGGGTTTCCAGTGTGTGAAAATATTTATATTTGATCTCTTGATTGATGTTCACACTGTTTTTAGTTTAAATTCATTTATTGTACCCCATTTTGGCTTGAAATATATAACGTATGCTAAGTTCTTAATTTGTTTTACCCTAAGGTAAGAAAATAATTGTAGCAGGTACTGTTATTATGAACTAATGCTTTAAATCTCATCAATTAAGTATGAAGAAGCAAGTTTTTGAAATTAATTTTGTATGTAACTAATTAAGATTGAAGTTCTAGTTGATTAAATTTTTGAAGAATATTTCACTCTCACCTTCTTATGAAATGTTAACATACATTGCATATCTTTAAAATAACTCAAATGAAGTACTAAGTATGGTATTCAAAGTATTCTGTTTTTTGTTTTTTTTTCCATGTTGCGTTATTTACCAGGTTTCAGATACAGTAGTGGAACCGTATAATGCCACTTTATCAGTCCATCAACTTGTTGAAAACACTGATGAAACATTCTGTATTGACAATGAGGCTCTCTATGACATCTGTTTCCGAACCCTCAAACTAACATCTCCCTCTTATGGTGATCTAAATCATCTTGTATCTATTACAATGTCTGGAGTAACTACATGTCTTAGATTTCCTGGCCAGCTGAATGCTGATCTACGTAAGCTTGCTGTCAACATGGTTCCATTTCCACGCCTTCACTTCTTTATGCCTGGTTTTGCCCCACTTACATCTAGAGGGAGCCAGCAGTATCGTGCAGTATCTGTTCCAGAGCTGACACAACAGGTTAGTTTTGACATGAGATAGTTTCTTTCCAGTATATGAATATTTCCAGTATAATTTGTTACTTTAAGTAAAAACTAACATGAATGTGTTTAACCTTCTTGATGCTTATATCAGATCATCTAATTTAATGCAAGGTATTATTTCATGAAATTTTGAAATTTAATTATCTGTATGCATATATCTTTTACCTTTAGTTCATTTAGTTGAATTATAAATTATCAAGTGTACAAATGATATCAATTTTGTTGGAACAACATAACCATTTTGTCTTGCAGTTAACATAATGTTGGCAAGATGATTACTTGACTGTTTATGTATTAACCCTATCTGCCTGGGCATCATTTACTGCACCTGTCACAAGATTTTAGTGTATTACATTCAAAATTCTATTCAACTACTTTTTTTGTTATACCAGTTAGTATAGCATAAAATCATAGCTGATAATCCATATTTTAATAGAACATAAGTTTTAAGTTCATAATTTTATAAGTAATCTTTTACAAAAAATCCTGAATTTCCTCTAGTGTGAGAAAGGTGACAAATTTTCTTTAGGCATTCCATCTTCTCTATTTTATTCATCACCCATCCAACAAGTATGAAATTCAACGTAAATTATTCACTATAAAATCATCAATGCTCTGACAAACCATAATTTTTATAGCTTTCAATTTTGTTTGGTTACAAAGTGATCAAATAGAAAATCAGACCCCTCATGCTACACCTACCTGTCACATCCTCTCTTTCAGGATTTGTTAATGGTTCTCTCTTATGCTTAATTCTATATTCTCTATAACCAATTGAAAGCAAAGGTTTCATCTATCAAATGACGTATTATATGATGTGCTCTGAACAGAGAATTGTCAGTTTCTCTTTTAGTACAAGCATCGTTCCCACGGGATAACTACTAGATTGGGTGAGTTTGTTACGGCTCTTACCGGAAATTGTCTGTTGTGTCAGCGAGGTCACTTGACTAGTATCACGCCACCTGTTTTCTAGAAATATCCTGTTCCTTCGTGAATGCACTAGCGTTTACTAGATTGGGGGTAGGTCTGGTATATATATATATATATATAAGATGGTCACAACGTGACGGGACAATGTGTAGTAGTGAGTAATTGAGCTGAGTATTATTGAGCACGTGAGAATTATAGCGTTTGTTACAGAGCGACTGTTGAAGTTGAGTGTATCGTAAAGTTGTATTCAGAAAGAATAAACCAGTTTTATTTAAGAAAGGACTTGTGTCGCTAAAGTTTCGTC